GAAGAGAAAAAAGCCTTGGTGACTCACAGGGTAAAGCAGTGAAAGTCAGCAGTTGGCCCCACAAGCAGCTCTAGGAGAAAAGACTTGATCTTCTGCTCTTACAAAGGCTGCAGCTTCGGGACCCCTGGGGGCAGTTCTTTTCTCTGAGCCACTTGATGGCACACACCACCCCCACCACCGCCTCCACCACCATCACCACCACTACCACCACCACCTCCTTCTTCTCCTCCACCACTGCCACCACCACCTCTGCCTCTGCCACCATCACCTCCACCTCCACCACCACCAACACCACCACCTCCTCCTCCACCGCTGCCACCACCACCGCCACTGCCACTACCACCTCCACCATTATCACCACCACCTCCTCCAAAGAACAGCCGTCTTTGAAATGCCTTGCTTGGTCAGGTGGTCTGAGAAGGCTCCTTCCACATCCCTAGAGTTATGACAGAGAGTTGCATCACAGCTGATCCACAGATGTTAATATCAAAGACTTCTCCTTTCTGATGTCTTTCACTGCCCTCCATTCATTCAGTCCCCTTTGGGTCTTGTGTGAGGGCATTTCGCACAGGGTTAAATGATCACTGTTGGGAGGAGTCTGCATTGTTGTTTTATAGGTGTAGGTCTCTATAGGGGCTGTGTTTTGAATGTTGCAGTAATAATTAATCCTTTTTTTTACTCCCTCTAGGGAATGTACATCAAGTCAACATACGATGGATTGCATGTGATTACTGGAACCACCGAAAATGTAAGTAGAGAGCCTTTTAATATAAAGACTTACAAGTTCATCCTAGAGAGGGTGAAGCCAGGCTGCTGCTTGGAGGCAAGGATTCTGAGGCTTCGTCTGACACACCTTGGGCATGTTGCAAGGAGGGACCAGTCCTTGGAGAGGGACGTCATGCTTGGGAGGGTGAAGGGACAGTGCAGGAGAGGAAGACCCTTGATAAGATGGATTGATTTGGTGACTGGAGTAATGGGGGTGGGGGTGTCAGACAGTGAGATTGGCTCAGGATAGAGCAGGGTTTCGGGCTGTTGTACACAGGGCCGCTATGAGTCGCAGGCCACTCAGTGGCACCTCCCAACAACAATGACGACAACAACGTGTGTTTTTAAGCAGTTTGACACGATGTCTCTCTGTTTTTCATTTAAATAATGCGAGTATGTTTTATTATGTGCCCTGAAAGCAAGAGTGTCTGTTTTCTTTCTGTTGCTAGAGCCTGTCTTGTCACCAGCTGTTGCCAATTTATTATTTAAACTGTCCTTTCTCCCTCTAGTTCACAGACTCTGCCCGGTTTTAACCTTCATCCTGGGTTACTTACTCCTTTTGCACCCTGAAAGTGTTAAGGCCGTGATGAAAACCCAGTGGCCTCTTGTTACACTCCTTCTCCTAACACCTGGGATCGGTGACTGACTGACTGACTCCCTGTGGGCAGTGTACTTTGATGATGTCATCTTGTTTACTGGAATCTATGTTTGTGACCAGAGCAGCTCTTAGGAGATTTTTGCATGGTGTAGATTCTTTTCATAAAGTTGTGTTTTGTGACACGCATCACCAATTATGACGTAAAACAGAGCATCAGCTCAAGAGGAAGGTCCTCAATGAGATGAACTGACGGAGGCGACAGTGGCCTCAAGCATAGCACCTGTTGTGAAGGAGGCAGAGGACACAGCTCTGCTTCCTTCTGTTGTACGTGGGGTCGCCGTGAGTTGGAACTGATCTCACTGTCCTTTATCATTTCATGTTAACTGCCAAGGTAACGGAATTCCAATTTCCCTCCCTACAATCCTTTGGTAGCCTAGTGGGTAGAGAGATAGTACAACAGGTAACAAAGAGAATAGTAATAAGTGTCGTAACAAATTGTCAATACACCAGCTCAAAAGCAAACAGTTAAAATGCACTGGCTGATTTGCAGGCGAGGGATGGGCAGTCTTCTCCCATGTGATGCCCATCCTGAAAACCCCCTGGAGGGTCAGCTATAGGTCACTTCTGACTCGACAGCAGTGAGAGGGAGGTTTTCACACAACGGCCGGGCTGTTTGTAAAGTGAGAAGCTGTAAATTCTCTTACATAAAAAGTTTTTACTTAGCCCCTCAAACTTTTTAAATTTGTGAAAAGTGGAGATAATTTGGATGCTTTCTTCTTGCATCCTACAAAATGCCCAACCTTTGATTAGCATTGATATGAAGCTTGAGAATATTAACTCCCTGAATCTTTGTTCAAAACAGCATGTGTCTATGGAATACATCTACTTTTAAATGAAAGAAGTCAGGAGAAAATGTGTAAAACTAGAGGACATTTAATAACAACTTGTATTGTCTGCTCAGTAGAAATACATACCTATTTTTGAACTTTAGATATGAAATCTTTAGATAAAACGTCCAGATCTTTGATTATGTTTGGTGACAAACATTTGATTTGGGGGTAATAAGTGATATTACAGTAGTGAATTACAGTGAAATCTTTCCTTCTGGTTGGAAATGTTTCAATGCAAGCTAAGAATCTAGAACTAACTACTCAGGTCTGGCTGGGTCAAACAAGGTGATCATCAGATGGCTAGTGGCCTTGTCTCTTAAGCATTCTCTTCTGAGCTTCAGTGTGAATATAATGAGAACAACTGGGAATTTTTATTCCAAGTCATCTGAGAGGTAGAACCCACACCGGTGCTCTGGTCCTAGGTTAGAAGGACGCAGAATGTGTAAGTGGTCCTTGGAGGCCAAGGTCGTGAAACTTCACCCCACTCACGGTGGGCCTATTTTCAGAAGGAACCAGTCCTCGGAGAGAGACATCATGCTGGGAAAAGTGGAGGGCACGTAAAGGCGAGAAAGCCTCTCAAGGAGCTGGACCGACACAGTGTTTACCACAGTGACTCCAGGAACTACAGTCACTGGGTCACTGGGCTTGAGAAGGAGTGAGATCATGAGGCTGGTGCAGGGTCTGTTGTTCCTCGGGGCACTTAGGATCACAGTTGACTCGATGGCACCTGACGAAAGAGCATGCTACATCATGTTCCCTAGTGCTGCTGTCACGGAGATACCACAAGGGGGTGGCTTTAACAAACAGAAATTTAGTCTCTTACCGTTTAGGAGGCTGGAAGGCCAAATGCCAGGTGCCAGCTCTAGGGGAAGGCCTTTGCTTTGTGCAGTTATAAAGACCTTGTTTTCTTTCGTATCTGGAGAGCCCTCCACGTGTCCTGGCTTCACTGGGGACAAGGAGATTCCCAACTGGTGACAACGGGATTCCAACAGGACACATTCCACCCCTGGCCTTGGTGCCCTTGGGATTCTCCCCTCTCAGTTTTCTTTTCTCCCCTTTTTATCTTCTAAGAGATAAGAAGGTGCTCCAGGCCACTCTGTGGAGAAATTCCCCTTCTGTCCATTCAGGAGTCTGTTGAATTCCACCCTTAATCCTCTGAAAGGTGTTAGGTGTATCAGGTCAGAGGGACTCATTCTGTAACTTCTGTAATAAATATATCCTTACATGTCTCTATTCTGGGGCACCCGTTCAATCCATGGCACTGTGGTTCTGATCTTATCCTTGTTAGAGACTCCTGAGTTCATGGCCATTGAACAATGTCAGGAATCTACTTTATGTGTTACTTGGTATGTATTTGCAGCAATTTGTGTTCAAGACCGTGATGGTTGCTTTTATTTGGGGTTTTATTGATGTAATTATGTATGTGTCAAGTAGTCATGTCCACACATGCTTCACATGTCCAATGCGGTGACGCTGGTTATGTTTATAATGATTGTCAACTATTGTTGTTGTTGTGTGCAGTTGAGTTAGAATCAACTCACAGCTGACCCTCTAGTGGGTTTTCAGAGCCAGTAAATCACTGGAGGAGAGTGCCCATCCTTCTCCCAGGACTAGTGGCTGGACTTGAACTGTGTGCCTTTGGGATTGCAGCACAGCTTATTACCACTAGGCCACAGAGCTCCCTTCACCCAGTTTCCCCATCATTCCTTACAGAAGCCCAGTATCCCCTGAGCTCACCCGTGTTTTGTTTCTCCTTTTTTTAAAAAAAAATCTTGTTATTAGTTTTAATGAAAATTTATAGAGACTTTGGATTTCCATTCGTTCATTGTTGCACTTTCCCCCCTCCCAACCCTGCCCCCTAGTACACTACCCTTTTGGAAAAGTAAAAGAAAAATTCCTTCATTGTTTTACAATTCCTCCGCCAGGTCCACTCCACTATGCCACCTTCGCTCTGGACTCCTCTCATGACAATATTACCTAATCACAGATCCCTTTTGAACAGTTTCTCCTTCGTCTGTTTCAATGCAGTATACATTATTGAACCCATCCTTCTGAGTCTCTTCCCAACCCCGAGGTCAGTGCTGTTTTACAACAGTGGCAACATGCAGTATTTGTCCCTTTGTGTCTGAGATACTTCACTCAGCATAATGTCCTCCAGAGTCACCCATTTTGAATAATATTGCATGAGTTCCTTGTTTTTCAATGTAGCGTAGTATTCCATTGTGTGAATATACTACAGCTTCTCTATCCATTTGTTTGTGGATGGACACTTAGGTTGTTTCCACCTCCTTGCTATTGTGAACAAAGCCACGATAAACATGGGTGTGCGTATATCTGCTTGGGTGGCAGTTATGGTCTCTTTGGGGTATATTCCCAGCAGTGGAGTTGCTGGGTCAAATGGTATCTCTATTTTCAACTTTTTGAGAAAGCACCATACTACCTTCCACAGTGGTTGCACCATTTTAAACTCTCACCAACAATGAATAAGTGTTCCAGTTTCTCCACAACCTCGCCAGCATTTGTTGTTTGCTGTTTTGAAGAATGGCAGGGTTGCATCTAGTAGTTTGGTGATCACCTTGTTTGACTTAGCCAGACCTAAATAGCTCTAGATTCTTACCTGGTCGTTTTGGAACATTCTCGGTCTGGGGAAAACAAGGGGGCACTATAATATTACTTCGGAAAGATGTGTGGATTCACTCCAGAACAGCTTTCTGGCTGTCACATCCGGTCACCTGAGTGACTTCAGAGAGCCTCACATGGGGTGGGGGCGGATAGTGGTCACTTACCACCCTCTCCCAGGGCTGTGCCTCCCTCGACCTCCGTCTCGGGTCCCAGTCTGAAGACATGCCAGTCCTTTTCTGAGGCCTCTGCTCTGTTTATTTTGAAGTTAACTGAGAGACCGGGTCATGTCAGTGTCAGATTCACAGTATCTGGTGATTCTCTTATCTACTCTCTGCTCTGATGTTGTTGAGGGCCTGGTCAGGAATCTTGACCTGACTTCTGTCCTCCTGCCCCTAGATCAGGCCACACCAGATGAGCCCCTGAAGAATGAAGGCCTTCTTCTCTGGGGCAGTGCCCTTCGCCGCTCACACCAGAGCCGGCATCAGTTTTCAGAAGTCCTGCTCACCTGCCCGGGGAGCCTGGGTATCAAGCTCTCTCTTTACCAGCGCTCTGCCAAGCTCAGCTCTTGATCACTTGAGGACGTTTGAGAAAAGAAGGTTCAAGGATCCTTAGGAAGGAGAGTCAGCTCAGGACAGCGGGGCTTGTTCTTTCAGGTTGCAGATGATGACGATGGCACAGGGTAGGGCAGAGTTCAGATCTGTTATTCATAGGGTTGCTGTGACTCAGTATTAATTGGCTCAATGGCACCTAACAACAACAACAATCTGTAAACACAGACTTCTTAGTCCTCAGACCATCTCAGAATGTGAACAGAAGGCATGTTGTTGTTGTTGTTGTTGTTGTGTTAGGTGCTGTGGAGCATGACTCCCTGTGACCCTGTGAACAGTGTCTGAACAGGTCTGAGTCCTGTCCTGTCTGGTGCCATCCTCATCATCTCTGACGTCCTTGAGCCCACAGTGACTTAAGTCACTCACTGTGTCAATCCATCTCGTTGAGGGTCTTCCTCAATTTCGCCAACCTTCCACTTTTCCAAGCATCATGTTCCTCTCTAAGGAACAGCCTCTCCTAACAACATGACTAAAGCAAGACAAAACTTCATCATCTTTGCCTCCAAGGAGCATTCTGGCTGCACCTTCTCCAGGATGCACCTGTCTGTTCTTTTGACAGTCCATTAGACAGTCAGTATTCTAACACCACAGCTCAAAGGCATCAGTAATTCTCTGTCATCCTTAGTCACTGCTCATCTCTCGATGCTTAGGGACTGATATGCATAGATGGAAGGCACAGATGGGTATAAAGTGAAACTTGGCCTTGATAAGTCACCTTTCCCCCATTTCAGCCCCTTCAGATGAGCTGGGCTGAGCTAACAGGCTCCACTTTTATCTAAGTAGCTCTATAATGAAGGGCTGCATATGACCCAAGATTGGACAACAGGAGCCTAGGGAAATTGCGTTTCTGTAAGTGCTTAATCGAGGGAGAGATGGGAGACAGCGTGTCCCCATTGCATGCACGCTGCTGGTCTCAGGTGAGACACTTCTGGCTGTTAGAGCAACAGGTTAGATGTTTTTTTCAAAATAACTGTTGCCCTGGGCTTAGATGAATCTGTGGGCCTGTTTCTGGTTGAGCCCAACACAGCAACTGAGAGAGAAAGCTCAGCAAACATCTCCTGAGCTTGACTGGATGCCCCTTCTCGTGGTCAGAGGTGCTGTTTGTTTGGGATAGTTCGAATTGTTGAGGATGAGGCAAGATACAAAACGCATGCTCTGGCCTAGATGCATTTGATTCTTAATAGGTACTAGAAGTTTCTTCTTGCCTTTCCTTTGGGTCGTAGATAAGGGGTTGGTTGTTACTTACATGATCAGGGGTAATGTATTCATTTGATAAGGGCATCCTAGCTCTGTATAAATATGTATGTAAACATACACTGTATATGCGTGTGTGCGTCAGTGAGGGCTGTTGTTGGTCGATGGTGTTGGCTTGGCTCTGCGTCCTAGTGACCCGTGTACAGCGGATCGAAGCTCTGCCCTGTCCTGGGCCGGCCTCTCTGTCTCCGCCATGCTCCAGGTCAGCGCTGAACTCACTGTGCCACTTCCTCTCATTGAGGGCTTCCTCTCTTTCTCTGACCCTCTGCCTTTCCTACCATGATGTCCTTTTCCGAGGACCGACCCCTGTTGATCACATGGCCCAAAGTATGAGAGGCAAAGTCTCACCATCCTTGCCAACAAGGAGCAACTTGGACGCCCTTCTTCCAAAACAGATTTGTTTGTTCTTTGTTCTTTTGGCATTTTGCAATGTATTCAGTACTTTTCACCAACACTGTATATATGTTTATATATCTATAAATTGAAGCCTTTGAGTTGCAGTGTTGGACGAGAGGACTGAATATCCCATAGACTGCCAAAAGAAAGAACAAGTATGTTTTTGGGAAGGGTGCAGCCAGATTGCTCCTTAAAGGCAAGGATGGCAAAGGTTTCTCTCCGATTCTTTGGACAGGTAGGTGGTTGTTGTCATGTGCCACTGAGTTGCCTGCGACTCAGCAAGCCCATTGTATGATAGCTCTGAACCCTGCCCTATCCTGAGCCGGTCTCACTGTCTCCAATACATCTACCTCCATTACCATGGTCCTGTAGGCAGGAGAGGGTATTCCTTAGAGACGGGCATCATGCTTGGAAAGGTAGGGTCAGCAAAAGAGAGGAATACTGCCAATGACGTGGATTGACACGGTGACTGCAGCAGTGACCTCAAGTGCAGGAAGGATGGTGAGGATGGGACAGGGTTCAGGTTTGTATTTCATAGGGTCACTTTGAGACATGCTCACCTTGGCGGCACCTAACAACAACAAGTTTCATTTAGGAGAAACGGAGTAGATTTTTTTGGGGGGAGGGGGCACTAGAAACACATTCCATTTTAATTCAACCTCAAAATGAAAGCAAACTTTAAATTAATTTCCTCTAAAGAAAGATATTTTAGATTGTACCCTCTTTCTAATTTAATAACATTATAACAGGGATTTTATGCCACTTTTTAAAATTTTATGCCATTTTAATATCTCAGTGATAACAAGTGCAACCAAGCTGAGGAAAAGGAAGGTTTCACTTTAGCTTTATAATTGTTTAAAAGGAACTGCAGAGACTGAGTCTCAGAGATGATGTTTACATGTTGAAACAATGGGCCAGCTTTTTCTCTTTCATGATTTTTGGTTTTTATTTTAATGAAAGCTCACAAATGGTATTGGTTTTTCTAGCAATTGTTTAGATACATCTAGTTGTAAACATTAATTACAGTTGATTCATATCTGATCACCCCTTTTTAAATATTACCTTTCCCTTCACCCAACTTACTTATGTGGTTTGACGCCCTACTCCCTCCCTTCCCACCCTTGGTAACCATCCAAGATGATTCAGTATGTAAATATTTCCTTAGATTTTAGAATAGTAGTCTTACAACACAGTGGCTAGCTTTTATGAGAGTAGTTTTAATGGTGGAAATTTTTTTTTAAATGAATTTGTGGCTTTTATCAACTAGTCATTTTCAATTGTGTGTCTAGGATCCAAAGAATGAGCACAACTTTTTTTAGATGACCCCAACTTTTGGGGCAGATTTTCAGTGATAGTGTGACAGACCAGAGAGGATCTTCCTCCCTCAGGCTGCTTGGACCACATAGTCTGAGGAGGCCGAAGCACCGTTTTATCTTCCTGGGGAGATTTCCCTTTCCTTGCAAGTTGTCTGCAGAAGAAAGAAAGAAGGAATAGAAGCAGGAAGAACAAGGGGATTTAAACAACTAAGTCTCTTTGTTTCTGTCCAGTCTCCTGCAGACAGATCACAGAAGATCCATGCTGGGGATGAAGTCATCCAAGTGAATCGGCAAACTGTGGTGAGTTTCTTCACTGAGACTTAAGGTTTGATAGCCCTCGATAGAACTTTAAATCCAAGGCCAATGTGCCCAGTTTTCCAGTATTTTAACTAGTGGATGGAGCCCTGGTGACACAGTTGTGAAATGCTCAACTACCCAATGAAGAAAGGTCTGCCGCTGGAACAGAACAGCTGCTCTGAGAGAGGAAAATGTGCAGCTTCCTGTGTAAGATACAGCCTTGGAAACTCGATGGGCAGATCTGCTCTGTGGTGTAGATTGTTATGAATAGGAGTAGAGTGAAGGACATTACCGTGGTGAAAGTACTCAGCTATTAACCAGAAGGTCACTGGTTCTAACCCACAGGAGATAGAAGTGGTAATTTACTTTCATCAAGACCAAAAAGCCAAACCCAAACTCAAGGCCAATGCATTGATTCTGATTCCTGCCCTCTGACATGTTCCCAAGGCTGTAAATCTTTACCTGAGGGGACTGCCCGTCTTTCTTCACAAAAGTGCCTAGTGGATTTGAACCGTTGGCTTTTTGTTGTTAATGTTGTATACCATTGAGTCAGAACCAAATCATAGCTGACCTCCAGTGGGTTTTCAGAGGCAGCTAATCACAGGGGAGGAGATTGGCTATCCTTCTCCCGTGGAGCGGCTGGTCAGTTGGAACCATCTTTGGGATTGCAGTGCAACTTCTTACCACGAGGCCACCAGAGCAGCCTGGAAACCCAATGAGGCAGCTCTCTCTCTTCCTCAGAGTCTCCTTCAGTCGACACCAATACAGTGGGTTATTTGTTTTTTAACTGGTGTTGTGGGGAGCTCTGGTGGCCTAGTGGCAAGGAACTGCAACTATAATCCCAGAGGCAAACGGTTCGAATCCACCATATGCTCTGCCGGGGAAGGAGGGACAGTCTCCTCCTGTACCAGTCAGATCTGATTTGACGGTACACGCACACAAAAATAAATTAAAAAAAAACAAAACAAAACAAAAAATACCCAAAACTGGTGTTGTGCATCAGAAAGCCGGGCAATAACTAAGGATGATAGAAGGAGAGTTGATGCATTTAAGCTGTGGTGTTGGAAAAGAGTGTTGAATATTCCATGGACTGTGAGGAGAACAAACAGGTTCATCCTAGAGAGGGTGAAGCTGGGCTGCTTCTTGGAGGCAAAGATTCTGAGGCTCTGTCTGACATACTTTGGACATGTTGTAAGGAGGGACCAATCTTTGGAGAGGGACATCAGCTTGGGAAGGTGGAGGGACGTCACAGGAGGGGAAGGCCCTCTATGAGGTGGATTGATTCAGTGACTTGGGTAATTGGGATGGGTGTGTCAGAGACAGTGAGATTGGCACAGGATAGAGCAGGGTTTAGGGCTGTTGTACATGTGGTCGCTATGAGTTGCAGGCTGTTATATCACACATAACAACAATGTGAACATCTTTTTTTTTTTTTCTTTAATCTTCTTATTGACTCCTAACTTCTGAGATGAGGGCATCAGTTGATTTTTTTTTTCCTTTCCTTTTTGAAGGTGGGATGGCAACTAAAAAATCTGGTGAAGAAACTGCGTGAGAACCCCACGGGCGTGGTGTTACTGCTGAAGAAGCGGCCGGCGGGCTCCTTCAGCTTCACCCCTGCCCCTCTCAAGAACCTTCGGTGGAAGCCGCCTCTTGTGCAGGTCTGTCCTGGGGTCCCCACCGAGGCTGTGTCGAATGCTTTCTTTCCCTCCCAAGGCTAAGATTAGATTAGCATTTGACGGTGGTTGGTTTGAAGAAAATACTGTTCCAGTCTTGCTCTGGTCCTGCTTACATCAAACTGAAGCATCGCTGAACACAGCCAGCCACACGTGACTGTCCAAATTCTGAATAGTTAAATGATACAAAATTGTCATTCCAGGTCCTCTGTCCGTGCAGCCACATTTCAGGTGCCATGTAGCCACTCTTAGGACTGTTGTGTCCATCTGCATGTGGGCGTTTCCAACATGAAACGAAGTCCCTTCTCTCTAGGTTCTCTGCTTTTCCAACATGGAGTTGTATAAATGTTCGCCGTATGAACATGAATTTTAGCCAGGGCTCCTGGAGTTGAGTCACTAACTACGGTCCCCAGTGAGCCCTGAGGGCACAGTGGCTGAGTGTCTACCTACTGACTGGCCGGTCAGCAATTCCAGTCCACCCTACAGTGCTGAGAGAGAAAGGCCTGCTTGTCTCTAATGATTACAACCTGGAGAAGAACCCTCCAGGGCAGTACTGTTCCCTCACATCAATTCTGTGCTGTTAGAATTGATAACACACAACAAAGAAAGCAGAGAAACACGTGTTCCATCTGGTGGAGAGGATTTTCTCAGTGACTTTATTCACAATGGCCAGTGTGGAGTGATAACAGCTAACACCACATGCTGGTAACAGAAAGCAGACGGACTCTCAATGAGCTTTATTGTTTCAGTTCTCTGCCGGCGTCTACCTCCTTCTCGCCTACACCTGAGTGGGCCATGCTCATTCTTTTTTTTTTTTTTTTCTTCTAAAAATTCAAGCTATGGCATTTTATTTTGCATCATATATGTGTGATTGGTTTTTTTAAAATTTTTTTCTATTACTCTTGATTTATTTACAGAGTTTGGATACATTGTTTTTTACACAAGATCCTTCCCATTTCCATCACACGAACCACCCATCAAATTGTTCAACCCCATGATTAACACCCCCACCCGTCTTTTTCCACCCTCCCCTCACCTTGGATCCTCATACTCATTCTACAACAATGGTTTTATACAGTATTTGTCCTTGTGGGACTGAGTTAGTTCACTTAGCATAATGCTCTGCAGTCCCTCCCAAGTTAGGTAGTAATTTACAGAATCATTGCTCCTGCGTGCTGCGTAGTATTGCACTGTATGACTGTACCACAACTTCTCAATCCATTCATTTGAGGTTGGACATTGGGGCTGTTTCCATGTTCTTGCGATGGTGAATAATGCTGCTATGAACATTAGTGTACAAATCTCAGTTTGTGCCTCAGTTCTCATATTCTCAGGTATATTCTAAGGAATAGCTGGGTCATATGGAATTTCTGTGGTCAGCTTTTTGAGGAAGCACCTGAGTGCCTTCCGGAATGGTTGTACCGTTGTTCAGTCCTCACTCGTAACCCCTCTTGTTACGCTGTTGATCCTGCGTGTTTGTACTTGAACCACGAATGAGAAGAAGTGATCTCTTTACGCTCTTTGATGACATTCGGACTAAGAGGTTCCCCGGAACTGTCTGTGGTTGTAGCGCACATCTTCAGACAGTTGAAGCAGGAGCCGCAGCACATGGGTGGGGACCCATCCTGAGCTGCTGAGTACTAGAAACGCGTGTTCCTTACCGGGAGGGTTTAAAAGGACACGGCAGCTTGGTGACCACAGTTAAGGAGCTCAGCTTCCAACTGAGAGATGGGGCTTTTGAGTGCAGCGCAGACCCTGGGCGGTGCAAATGGTGCAGACACAGCTGCTAACTGCAAGGTGATTAGCAGCCCTCTCAGAAGCACCTCGGAAGCAAGGCCTGGCAATCTACACCTGAGGAAATCAGCCACTGAAGAGCCTGTGCGGCAGAGGCCTCCTCTGACACACAGGGAGCCAACATGACTGGACAACAGCGTTTTGGGGTTTTTTTTTGTTGTTGTTTGTTTTTTATTATTTGTGTGTGTGTGTGTCTGTGTACCATCAAATGGGATCTGACTGGTACAGGAGGAGATTGTCCCTCCTTCTCCAGCAGAGCATCTAGTGAATTTGAACTGTGTGCCTCTGGGATTGCAGTACAGCTTCTTGCAACTAGGTCACTAGAGCTCCCCAATGGTTTGTTTTTTGTTTTTGTTGGGTTTTTTTTTAAAGGAGCGTGGACTTCACCTTTAGGTACCATGTTCATGGTTGTCTTTGTGTTAATTTAGACTTATCGTATAGGTGTGCCTACAGACCTATATGCACATATAAGGGTCACCAGAGGAAAAGTGGTTACGTGATTCTGTTGCTGTGGTGGTTTCATCCACCAGGACTGGTGACAGTGACCACTCAAAGCAACATGAATGTAAGAGGCCATTGGGCAGGCGCAGTCAAAGAACCCAGAGCACAGCCCAGTGGGGTGGCAGGGGGGACTCTGGGGCTGACCCCTCCATGCTCGGATCTCACCTCTGTAGCTATGGGATCTTAGACGCGGCCTCTTACTTTTCAGATTCTTAAAACTAACACTTGATGGCCGTTGATTCAGAACTGGCCCATAGCTGACCCTCCAGTGGGTTTTCAGAGACTGTAAATCTCCCACGAGATTGCCCATCTTTTTCCAATAGAGCAGCTGATGGATTTGAACCGCCTGCCTGTGTGTTGGCAACTCTGCTCCTTAATCACTGAGCCACCAGACCTTCCCTTCTGAGCCTCGGTTTCTTCATTGTGCATGTTGCTGGAAAGGGCGAGGAAGGAGAGCCAGGCCAGGAGAAGCTGGTGTAAAAGATGACGGTGAACATGGCCAGTGAGGCCTTGGAAATCCAGAGAGCTCTCTGGAGGGGAGAAATCAGAGATGTTTTTAGATCTGTGAGTTTGAGGTAACGGAGGAGAATTCAGGTAGATGTACTGAGCAGATAGGTGGAATTAGCTTTGAGGTATATTGTTGTTTGGTGTCATCAACCCCTCTTCTCCTGTGCCATCCTCATCATCTCTGACGTACTAGAGTCCATTGCCGCAGTCGCTGTATTAACCCATCGCTTTGAATGTCTTTCTCTCTTTTATGGACCCTCCACCATTCCAAGTATGATGCCCCTCTCCGGGGAATAGCTTAGCCCTGTAGGGAGCTCTTGTGGTTTAGTAATAAGGTATTGTCCTGCGAACCCAAAGGCCTATGGTTCAGATCCACCAGTGCTCCATGGCAGAAAGCTGGGCAGTGTCCTCCAGTGTGATTAACGGCCTCTGAAAGCCCTCTGGAGGATCAAGATATTGATCAGTTCTGACTTGATGTTGTATAACAACAATCTCTTGACTTGAAAGTCCCTGTTGCAGGATCACTTTTCCTTCCTCTCTGGTTTTACCTCTATTCCTTCCAGATTCCAGGGCCTGTGCAATTTGGGAAGGAAATGGCATGAGGACTAGAGACCTCTTGCATTTCCTTCTGACCCTGGAGAGAGTCACCATCAAAACACAAAGAGGCTGTAGTTCTGCTTAGCTACTAAATGTTCTTGCCCTGTGTCCAGCGTATTTTCAGAATACGAGTTCTCATAGACATGATGCTCTGTACCCCACTTGGTGCCCGCCCCATCTCCTCTTTGTCTTCTATTCTTGAGTGCTCTGCGTGCCTCGTGCCCCGCTCTCCTGAAGAGGAGGGAGCCTCGGGAATTCTTTTCAATGTCGTGATTGTTGTCCACCACCCAGAAAGTGTTCACTATCCTGCTAACTACACAGACAGAAAAAACAAAACCATTCACTGTTCTGTCTTTGGTAGTGATCCTGGTGAATGAAATTTTTTTTTCTTTTCATTAGTTTATTTACAAAATTCTAGTATAGATTCAAACAAATTTTTTCAGTTTCCCTTCGCCTACCCATCAAATTGTACAATCCTCCTCACCCTGCACTTCCACATCCCTCTGCTTCCAGCCTCTCCCACCCTCCTGGACCTTTACACTCATTCTACAGTAACAGTTTTATACAATATTTATCCTTGTGGGACTGAGTTAGTTCACTCCACATAATGCTCTCCAGTACAAAGTTACTGCTCCATTGTGTGAATGTACCATAATTTCTCATTCCACTCATTTGTGGTTGGACATTGGGGCTGTTTCCATGTTCTTGTGATGGTGAATAATGCTGCTACGAACACTGGTGTACAAATCTTAGTTTGTGCCTCAGTTCTCATATTCTCAGGGTATATTCCAAGTAGTGGAATAGCTGGGTCATATGCAATATCTATGTTCAACTTTTTTTTTTAATTTAGGTTATTTTTCATTTCAGTGAACATCTACAGAGATTTTGGAATTCCATTCATTCATTGTTGCACCCTTCTCCCCGCACAAACCCCTCCTTATGTTCAACTTTTTAAGGAAACGCCAGACTGCCTTCCAGAGTGGTGGTTCTTGAAACAAAGCAATTCTCTTACATTATTGTAAATGTGTTTTTAACAAAACATGTCCTATTTCAATGGTCTTCACATGCACGTTCATTGATACTGATGCTCATTTTGTTTTTTGACCCTTGTTGGTAGTCGCTCTCGGATGTTTCCTTCTCTCTAACAGAAGTTCCATGTCCCCCGAGTGTTGTATCTTCCTGTTCTCTCCCTCCTGCCCTGCTAATGACTGGTAACTACTAGTAACCTCAGATCTGTGCCCATTTGCCCATTTGAAATACTTGGTATCATTTGGGTCATAGGGCATTTATCCTTTTGTGACTGACTGACTCAGCATGTTTTCAGGGTCCGTCCGTCTTACAGGCTGTGTTGGAATTCCATTTCTCTTTATGTCTGAGTAGTAAGTGTGTTTTTAGGGAGTGGCTGTTCTGTGGACAGCTTCTCATTTACTTTTAAAGTTTGAACAGCCTGCATCCTGGCCCCATGATGTCCAGCATAGTCACGGTTAATACGTTGGGATGCTCATCTGTCATCTGCTGAGTCAAGCTGACAGATGCTCTGTTAGCAGCCAACAGTGAGGTTATGGAAGTTGCATTTTGGGAGAGTCAAGACTAATCTGACTCTGGGCTACAGCGTCACTCTTGAGAAAGAGGTAGTCACTCCATGGGACTCTGGTGGCTACTTCTAGCTCCCTCCACCTTGACCTGCCTAGTCCTGCCATTCCTTAGAACCCATTTTATATTTTCACAGTTTTGGGGCATTTTCCAGGCTTGATGGGAATGAAAAAACCTTCAAAAACTTCTTGTGGGCATTGAGTTGATTCCTACTGATGGCATTCTCGTGCTTGTCCAAGTAGAACCATGAGCTGTACAGTTTTCAGTGGCTGATTATTCAGAAATAGGTTTCCAGTGTTTCTTCCTAGTCCATCTTAGTCTGGAAACTCTACCAAAAATGTACAGCATCACAACAACACATTAGCCTCCCCTGACATACAAGAGGTAGTCTGAGATGCAAAGGTCTGCATTAGAACCCAGGTTTCCTGCCCAGAAAGTAAGAATTCTACCATTGAACCATTGGGTAATCTAATCTTTAAATCTTTTAGAAAAATCCCAGGTAACTCTTGAGTGCCCCCAAGAACCAGAACCCTAAACCTAACCCTAATTGTTAACTCTGGAGTGCTTTAAAGAACCGTGTAAGCTGAGTGTTGTACACAGGGGTGGCCTTGCTTTGTAACACCGGAGGTGGTGCTGGGTAGGGAAGTGGGTAGGTGGACAGAGTCATCTCTGATAGGCTCCTCTATCCCTCTTAGCCAGTGTCCTGTTTTCTGCTATCATTTCAGACTTCTCCTCCACCCACGACCACCCAGTCCCCCGAAAGCACAATGGACGCCTCGCTGAAGAAGGAGAAGCCAGCCATCCTAGACCTGTACATCCCTCCCCCGCCAACGGTGCCCTACTCTCCACGGTAAGGTGGTGTCCATGGAGACGCGAGGGAGATGGGTGTGTAAAGACCATCATGAAGTTGATAGAGGAAGCTATGAACCTGCGTTTGACAAGGCTCTGGAAAAGTCTGGTCACATTGCTTCATCAGGAGAGGGTGGGGACAGATCAGGCATTTAGAGCTTGAAGCACTGTTATTGATGGAGAATGGGACTCTTAAGAAAAGAATACTGAATGAATGGAATCCCAAAATCTCTGTAGATGTTCATTTCAATGAACACCTACAGAGATTTTGGGATTCCATTCATTCATTGTTGCACCCTTCTCCCTGCACAAACCCCTCCCCCCTGCCTTTTGCTCCTCTCCTTGAAAAGCAAAAGAAAAACTCCCTCACTGGTACACAATCGCCCCCGCACCTCCTCAAACCCCACCCCCTACCCCCAAATATAATCCACTCTGCAACCCTCATTGCATACTCTTACGATAAAAATAATGCCCTAAAATATGATACTTTTAGACTATTCTCTCCCCCATAGACTTCAATGCCGTAAACATATTTCATCCAGTTTCGAAGCTTCCCTTGTCTTAACTGTGGCAGAGCATTTCTGTGTAGGAGGATACATACATGTGTGACATGTTACTGGATTTTTGCTGAGAGAGATGTGTTCATTGTAGGACTTTAAAAAAAAAGATGAGTGGAGGTATATGGTGCCTGTGTGTGTTTCCATAAATTCTTAGAGTTACTTCCCTGGTGGCTTTCTTAAGAAGCATTGACTGTGTGGCATGTAGTATGATGTGGATGGTCATACTTGGGGCATGTTGTAAGGAGACACCTGTCCTGGGAGAGGGCCGTCATGCTTGGGAGGGTGGAGGGACAGCGCAGGAGGGGAAGGCCCTCTATGAGGTGGATTGATTCAGTGACTGGGGTAGTGGGGTAGGTCTGTCAGAGACGTTGGCTCAGGATAGATCAGGGGTCAGAGCTGTTGTACAAAGTGTCACTATGAGTCGCAAATAACTCAACAGCACGTAACAACAACAGCGTACTGAACAATAGATGAGGGAAGATTTAGGTGTGGAACTTAGACTTTGTGATAGCAGCTCACCTTACCACTTACAGGCAGCTCTGGTGGCCTAGCAGGTAAAGCATTTACTGCCAATCCAAAGACAAGTGATCTGAGTCTACGAGCTGTTCCATGGGGAGCTGCTGGGTAATCTCCTTCAGTGCAATTTATAGTCTCTGAAAACCCACTGGAAGCCAGCTCTAAGTCAGTTCCAGCTTGATTGCAATGAGTTTGAATGTTTTTTAATCATAGGGCCTTGTGGTAAGAAGCTGTGCTGCAATCCCAAAGGCACACTGTTTGGATTCACCAGCTGCTCTGTGGGAGAAGGATAGACAGTCTCCTCCCTTGTGATTTATAGCCTCTGAAAACCCACTGGAGGGTCAGCTATGCATCAGTTCCAACTCCTGGCAAATAGCAATGTGCCAATAAAGATTTTAGTCAGTGTTACCATCTTACACAGCTCAGACCTGGTCTGTGTCCCCAGAGAACCTCCACTGCTTCACTCAGATGCTCAGAAATAAACTGAGAAATGCCTAATTCCACTATCACCTGGGAAACCAAACAGGCTGAATTTGTAGTGACGTCTTACACTGTCCCGGAGCAGTTAGTGCTCTGTGTTTGTATTAAGCTGGCCTGTTTGCTTCTCTTGCGTCTCTTCCTTGAGGATGGAGAAGGTTTAGCATCGTCTTCCTCTCCTTGAGTCCTGGTCTACCCAGAACTTTCTATAGCACTTAGGGAAGCTGTCAGATGCGACCAGGCATTCTGGTTGTCAGATAGCACCCTCCCCTGTGGTCACAGACCAGGGCCACGTGTTGATGGTCTCACTCATAGAGAATGGAGAAGTGCATGCATTACCCAATGTGTGGATTGTCCTATCTGAAACCAGAGGACAGTATTCCCCTGATCCCCCATTATGGGCCCTCAAAACTCCTGTCTCGGTCTCAGTTAGGGGCCCTAGAAGCGGTGGACAGAAAACTGGTGTATTTTTATAGTGTGTTTGGCGTTGGTGTGGTCAAGTGAATTCTGACACAGAGAAACCCGATAGGACAGAGTTGAACTGTCCCCCACTCAGGACTTCCTAGGCTGGGATGAGCAGGTTGTCAGATTTTTCTCCCTACAAGTGGCTGGTGGGTCCTAACTGCCAACCGTCTGGTCAGAAAACAAGTATTAGCGGTTGTACCAAAGGGAGGTGGACCTTTCAGTCTGCTTGTAGGAGACGCGCACACGTGCACCCTAAAGCCGACTTCTTGGAATGAGAAAGTGCACACCGGTGACGGAGACAAAAGTCCAGCATCCTGGAAACTTCCTGAACATGGTAGTCATGTACCAGGCTTAGAGGAGATGGATTTGGGGGAGAGGAGAGCCTGGAATGGAACTGGCTCACCTGAAAATATTGGGCTATCAAATGTGCATCCAGGGTTGATTTTTGGAGCACCTTTGGCCTCTGTTGATTTTGTATTTTTTTCTGATTTTTTTTTTTTCATTGCTCGTGGACTTGTAAATAAAAAACCCAGTCAACCAGCTGGTGACTTGGGCTCAGCTGAAATGCATCTTAGGTTGTTATAAGCTGACGTTTCCATAAAGTTAAGTTGGAGCTGATGGCTTTTACCAGTGTTTGTACTTAGTTCAGAAAAGAGACGCCCTCCCTCAGAGACTATAAAGTTCCCTTTGTATCTCTCTGACATACTTTTTTTTTTTTTTTTGACATACATTTTTAAATCTAGCAAGTCACCAGGTGCCTTCTTTGCTGGATCTTGGTAAAGATAATGTTCTTGGCCTGCGGAAAATGCCTCAATGGAGTGTACTTTCGGCCATCAGGCCGCTTCTCTGAAAGTACGCTTGTTGTGTTTAGGTAGAGAGGAACAAATTGTGTATACTTTAATCAAGTCCTGGTGTTAGTCCTTTTTTTATATGACCTGTATGAATTGGAAAAGGAGCCTTAGTGGCACAATGCTTGAGTGCTCACTTGCTCTCCAAAAATTATTTCAAATTTGAAACTGACCCAGCGCCTCCCCAGAAGGGCCTGGAAATTGTTCCCTGTGGGATAAGGAGGTGGCGGTCAGTGTCCTTACAATGACAGCCTTGGGTCCCTGTGGGGCAGTTCTGGTCAATTCTTTAGGGGGGCTGTGAGTCCAAGTCAGCTCTAGGGGTTTTGGGGTTTTTTGTACGCATTGGTAGGGCACCATGTGCCAGCACAGTCTATATTTTGGAATGACAACTGGCTTGGAAAAAAAAACAATTCTTGGCTCCTGTGGGTAAAGAAGGTTTCCGTTTTCACATCTGTGCTGGTCAGAGCATGACACCTATAATTCTTCCAACAAGAGACCTGTGGAATTTGGAAACCCCTGAGTCACCGTTGCACACTGTCTTACAGGGAGGAGAAGGGGAGCTCTGGATTCGGAGGGTCCAGTAAATCCAAGCAGCCCTTGCCTGGCCCCAAGGGTTCCGAGTCCCCCAATTCCTTCTTGGACCACGAGAGTCGGAGGCGAAGGTTTACCATCGCCGATGCCGATCGGCTGCCCGGGTATTCCGTGGAAACCAACGTTCTTCCCACAAAAATGAGAGAGAAAACACCGTCCTATGGTAGGTTTGTGGGCGTTTGCTTTGCTCTGCTGGGGTCTTTGCCTCGCTGCCTCTTCCCCCTCATTTGGGACGGCTGGGTGGATGTGGTGGAGGGTCAGATGAGGAGGACATAAACCCCAAAGGAACATGATGTCTGAGTCCGTGCTCTCTCTCCTTCGGCAGCCTGTACGCATGTGACCTTGAGGCCCTGCTTGCGGGGGTCCAGGTAGAGTTTTCTCTCTGCGCTGCCTCGGATTTTTTTTTTTTTTTAAATTATTATTAAATTTTACTAGTTTTAATGAACATTTACAGAGATTTTGGGTTTTCATTCATTCATTGTTGCACTGTTTTCTCTACCCTCCTCCCTAGTTCGTTCTTCTTCCCCTGCCCCCGAATGTCTGTTTTAATTGTCCAATTGCCACAGTGCTTGTCAAAGCCAGTTCTGATTAATCTCCTTTGTCAGTGTGCCCTTTGCCATTCCCTATCACTTCTCCCTGAGAGAGCGGCCTCGGATTTGACTTTGGAGTTGACTCACTCTGTAGACAGCAGACTCTGCAGCCTGCGTCTGTCCTCATTGCTTGCTACAGGAATGGGATGCTCTTTGGCTTTTCAAATATGCCATTGTTTGCACTGAGTGGTGTTGTATGTGGGGGCAGGATCGTGGGCAGCCTGTAAATTCCCCTTCTTTCTCTTCTGTCCACGTAGGCAAGCCCCGGCCTCTGTCCATGCCCGCAGATGGGAGCTGGATGGGAATCGTGGACCCGTTTGCACGACCTCGAGGTCATGGGAGGAAAGGTACGTTTCACTTCAGCAGAACACAGAGTAGAACACGGCAGGCCCGTGTACCAGCACTCCCTCGTCCTCAGAAGCGGTCACTGGCAAGTTAACTGTGACACACGGTGACCTCACATGTGTCGGGGTAACACTGTCCCCCCTGGAATTTCAGGGGCTATTCTTTCACGGGTAGATCCAGGCATTTCTTCTTGGAGCCCCTGGGTGGACTTGAAACTCTAACCATTTGCTAGCGGCCAGGTGCATTAACTTTTTACATCATCCCAACTGGGCCCAGTCTACTGCGCTGAGGGAGTAATTCCAACTCCTAACAGCCCTACGGGAGTGTAGAACTGCCCTAGAAGTTGTCCTTGATTTTGCGGAGTTCACACAAAGCAGGTGAAAAAATGAAAGATCACTTAACCCTAGATAGTAAAGAGAGTTCTGGAGGCCGGATCAACCCTGGGTGTGCCAGGGACTTGGTTACGTTGCTCACCTGCATCTCAGCATCGCCCAGGTGAGGGCTGCGGGGTAAGACCCTGCCTTTGTCCTGTGACAATCCACAGAGCTGCCAGCAGGGGGCAGGACGGGCCTTGGTTTAGATTAGAAATCGCAGCGTCCTCAGGCCCCACCTGGAAGGCGGGCAGCCTTCTCCCTTACTTGGCTTTGACATGTTGAGACATGGTGGAGGCTGGGGGTGTGGGGGTGAGAAATGGACGAATACTTGGCCCCCTTCCCCTCCTTCTTCTTACATTATTTTACAGTCAGGTAAAAACAGCACAGTAAACACAGCATTCTTGAGAAGGAACGCGTCTTTTTAAAGCATGCAGTTCATGGTTTTTAGTGAATTCATAGAAGTGTGCCACTGTGGCATCTGATTCTAGAACATTCCATTTCTCTAGGAAGAAGCACCATACCTTTCAGCAGGTGCTGTCCCTACTCCTAAAACTGCTGGTTTACTGTCTGTCTCTAAGAATTTGTCTTTTCTGGACACTGCATGGAAATGGAATCACACAATTTTTGGCAACACATTTTTAAAAACAGTATCTTTCCTCCATTGATTTACAATGGCAAGTTAATTGTAAAGCATCCATAAAATAAACTCTTTACCAGTGAGTCAGGAGCTCTGGTGGCCAATTGGTAAGGAACTGTGCTGCCAACTCAAAGGCATGTAGTTCAAATCCACCAGCTGCTCCTTGGAAGAAAGATGGGCAGTCGCCTCCTATGTGATTTATGGCCGCTGAAAACCTGCTGGGGTCAGCTGTGAGTCGGTACCTACAACAACCACAGAGAACAGAGCCTGCCTGCCACGTAGGGGATCCAAGGCTCTGAAGTCCAAAATTAGGGGGCTTCATCTTCACCCTCAGGTTGTTGTTGTTGTTATGTGCCGTCGAGTCGTTTGCGACTCATAGCGACCCTATGCACAACAGCCCTAAACCCTGCTCTATCCTGCGCCAACCGCACTGCCTCTAACACACCCATCCCGATTACCCCAGTCACCGAATCAATCCACCTCATAGAGGGTCTTCCCCTCCTGCGCCATCCCTCCACCCTCCCAAGCATGATGTCCCTCTCCAAGGACCCATCCCTCCTGGCAACATGTCCAAAGTATGTGAGACAAAGCCCCAGAATCCTTGCCTCCAAGGAGTAGCTTGGTTTAATCCTCTCCAAGATGAAGCTGTTTGTTTTCCTGGCAGTCCATGGTACATTCAGTACTCTTCTCCAGGACCACAGCTCAAAAGCATCCACTCTCCTTCTGTCCTCCCTAGTCATTGTCCAACTCTCTGATGCATAACAAGCGATTGCAAAAACCATGGCCTGTATCAGGCGCACCTTAGTCTCCAGAGAGACACTGTTGCTCCTGAGTACTTAGAGAGGTCCCTAACAGCAGACTTTCCCATCATGATATGCTTTTTGATTTCCTGACTGCTGGTGCCAAGAGTGTTGACTGTGGAGCCGAGCAAACTGAAGCTGTGAACAATCTCAATCTCTTTACCATCCATTGCTGACCTTTCTGTTAGCAGCTGAGTGTTTAACCCAATGCACCACCAGAACTCCTTAAACATCTAGAAGGAACAAACAAATCAAATTGTTCAGTCACTGGGCATGTTTCTGTGACTCTTCCAGTTCTGTATTTGTATGTTAAACAGAACAATGTTTGAGGTGGAATCGGTAACAGGTCAATCAATGGTCCTGGGTAAAATGAATGTTGTGTAATAGTGTCTTGTTTTTCTAGATTTTTTTTCTGAAAGTAGCTGTGTTGGTAAACTAGCTTATGGCTGTGGTGTTGTTATTAGGTGCTGTCGAATCCTGTATGACATAGACCCTGTGAACGGCAGATCTGCACCCTGCCCTGTCCTGTGCCGTCCCTACATACTCTGACACACTTGAGCCCATTGTAGCAGTCGTTGTGTCTGTCCATCTCGTTGAGGGTCTTCCTTTCTTTTACTCACCCTCCTTCCTTCCAAGCATAATGTCTCTAAGGAAATGCCTTTCCTAGCAACATTCCCAGGATATGTAAGACCAAGTTTTGCTGTCCTTGCCAGTGCGTACTTACTCATTCCACTATTAATGGACTCTTATGTTACTTCTTTGCCATTACTTGTTATGCATCAGAGAGTTGGACAGTGACCAGGGAGGTTAGAAGGAGAATTGATGCCTTTGAGCTGTGGTGCTGGAAAAGAGTATTGAATATAGCATGGAGTGCGAAGAAAATGAACAGGTTTATCCTTGAGAGGGTTAAACCAGGCTGTTCCTTGGAGGCAAGGATTCTGAGGCTTCATCTGACATGCTTTAGACATGTTGCAAGGAGGGACCGGTCCTTAGAGAAAGATGGCATGTTTGGGAGGGTGAAGGGACAGCACAGGAAGGGAAAGCCCTCTATGAGGTGGATTGATTCAGAGACTGGGGTGATTGGGGTGGGTGTGTTGGAGACAGTGAGACTGGCACAACACAGAGCAGGGTTTAGGGCTGTTGTACATAGGGTTGCTGTGAGTCACAGGTGACTTGAGGGCACATAACAACAAGAACATTTTAAATAATGCTTCAATACATGCTTTTGTACAGAAATCTTTGCACATTTTTAGGAGCAGAATTTCAGAGGAAGGCTACTTATTATCAAAGTGAACTGCATTTTTGTCCAGCTCTCCGCAACCCAAGAGGTCTGTTGTTATTAGGTGCCATCAAGTTGCCTATAACTCACAGTGACCCTGTGTACAATAGCTCTGAAGCTCACCCTATCCTGAGCCAATCTTACTGACTCCTGCACACCTACTCCCATTGCCCCAGTTACCATGTCAATCCATCTCATCTGGAGTCTTACTCTCCTGTACTATTCAACCACCCTTCCAAGCATGATGTCCTTGTCCACTCCTGGCCACGTGCCCAAAATATATGAGACGAAGCTTCAAAATCCTTGACTCCAAGGAGAAACTTGGTTTCACCCACTCCAAGATAGACCTGTTTGTTTTCCTGGCAGTCCATGGTATTTTCAATATTCTTTTCTAACACTACAAATCAAAGGAATCAGCTCTTCTTTTGTTATCATTAGTCATTGTCCAGCTCTCTGATGCTTACATAGCAAGACCATGCATACATAGTCAAGACAGTGTGGCCTGAATCAGGCACACTTTAGTCTCTAGACTGACATAATTGCTCATTAGCCCTCTGGAGAGGTCTTAGAGAGCGGATTTTTCCAGTGCAATTCATCTTTTGATTTCCTGACTGCTGGTGCCCAGAGTATTGATTTTGGAGCTGAGCAAGCTGAAAAATTGTTAACATCTGCAGTCTCTTCTCCATCCATTATGGTGCTGCCAGTTGGCCCAGCGGTGAGAATCTTTGTCATCTTGATGCTAAGCTTCAATCTGTATTGAAGTCTGCCATCTTTGACCTTCTGTAGCAAATACTTCAAGTCCTCCTCAGTTTGGGCAAGCAAGGTTGTATCATCTACTGTGAGCCTTAAATTGAATCCAAGCCAAACTCACTGCTGGTAATATTGGAAACTCTAGTTAGCAAGGGCCACTAGATGGCCTGGTCAGTGCTCAGTTGTCTTAGTTGTCTAGTGCTGCTCTATCAGAGACACCACAAGAGGGCAACTTTAACAAACAGAAATGGATTTTCTCACTGTTTAGGAGACCAGAAGTCTGAATTCAGGGCACCAGCTCTAGGGAAAGGCTTTTCTATTTTTGAACTCTGAGGAAAGGTCTTTGTCGCTTTGCAACATCCATGGACCAGGCATTCCTTGGAGGTTTCCATGTGTCTTGGCACACACCTTTCCCTTGATCTAGCAGGTTTACAGCACAGGGACCCTGGATCCGAAGGACACGTGCTATTGTGGCTTTTCTTTAATGGTCATCCTGAGGTCCTTCTCAGCTCTTATATTTAGCTCCCTTCATGTCTTGAGTGTGTCAGAGATGGTGGCACAGGACAGGACAGTGTTCAGATTGGTTGTTTATAGTGTCACTATGAGTAGTACTTGACTTGATGGCACCTAACAACAACAAGAAGAAGAACATATCTCAGAAGAGGGTGTGCTGGTGGCATAGTGGTAAGAAGCTGTGCTGTAATCTGAAAGGCCCACAGTTCAAATCCACCAGCTCCTTGGATGAAGAAGGAGCGACAGTCTACTCCATGGGATTTACCTCCTCAGAAAGCCCGCTGGAGGAGGGTCAGTTGTGGGTGGGTTCCAACTTCACAGCAGACAACAGTTTCTCAGAGGAGGTGGACTCAAGATCCCTCTCAGCCTGCCTTGTTACCTCATCACAGGAGGACTGACAACACATGGGATAAATGCATCAGAGGACAGAGTGGAGGAGAATGATGTGGTAGCGAGAATGGGGCCCAGCCAAGTTGCCTTGTTTTGGGGGGACACAATTCATCTATAACAGCTATTCTGTAACGGTCATTCTAATGAAGACGTTGGCTTTTTCACCAGGTGAGGACGCCCTTTGCCGATACTTCAGCAACGAGCGGATCCCTCCTATTGTTGAAGAGAGGTCCCCCTCCCCGTATCGGTTCTCCAGACCCTCCGCCGAGAGGCACCTGGTCCGAGGCGCAGACTACATCCGAGGAAGCCGCTGCTACATCAATTCCGACCTCCACAGCAGCGCCACGATCCCGTTCCAGGAGGAAGGGACCAAGAAGAAAGGTGGTGCCGCGGCCTCCAAGGCCCCCTCCACTGAGCCCTCACTACTAGTCAGCTGGTTTACGCGGCTTAAACTCTTGACTCACTGAAAGCAGCCTCCCCCAGCCTCCTCCCCATCTCCTGCTCCCAAGTGCCTTGGTTCCTCAACCAACAGCCTCTTCTTACTTCAACCCACAGTATTATGTAGTGACCTGAGGCCATTTCATTTGTTTGGGAAGTTGTATTCTGCCCATCTTGAAGTGACTGAATGGGAACAGACATGGAGGGTCTTGGGTTCTGGCAGAAGGCAGAAGGAAGGGAATAGTAGCATCTGCTGCTTCCCCAGCCTTAGAACTTGGTGACCCTGCAATTAACAGAGTGGAGTTTTGCCAGGAAGGACATGGGCATCACGAGGAGCTGGTGGCATTGTTCACTGAGGGGGTGGCAGGGAAGGAGGCCTGAAATTGATGGGTTATTGTCATGCGGATGTGTTGGTTCGTGGTCCAGTTTCTTGAATGGTAAAGCCAATGGAGATGACATTGTTTGGCTGTTTCAAGCTCTTTGCTGTATTTGTGAGTGTTGCAGCTGTGGCTTCGAATATGCAAGTCAGGTGGGAGGTGTCTGATGCCCCTTTAAAGCAGAGATTTAAGTGTGTGTCTGTTACATTGTCCTTTTTAGGAAAATCTCAATATAGGTCATATAATATGGAAACGAACACGTTCAGGTATGGTTTATTCCTTACAGAAAAGTGTGTGGTTTATGTGTGAGGTTCTATTGCTGTACATTATTATTGTCTTTAAAGGGATAAAAAGGTCTAAGATTTGCTGGTAGCCAAAGCATGATTCATGACAATATTCATGTATATGAGAGAGACATCACTTTGCCTTTTTACCTGCTCAAAATAGATATTTTCCAAGAGAAAAAAAAAAAAAGAAGTGCAGTTCTTCCAAATTCTGCACCTTTTGCTAATTAGAACAATCTTGAGGAATCTCATGGTCACTAATTTCCAACTTGCATCAGATATTTTGGGAACAGTGTGTCTGGATATTAACTCTTGTTTAAACTGAATGTATGATATTTTGTTAGAAATATTTAAGTGTTTTAAATATAGTTGTATATTTTTCTTACTATTAGCCACATGTACTTGAAAATATTCCTATGTTGTGTCATACATGAAACTAATGAGCGAGAGTGTCCAAGATGTTTTCAGATTGACAATGACCACCATGGCTGTTGCCCCCATGGGAGCGATTGTTAAGTAATAAGAATAATAATAAAGCCTTCTAAGCATTGTGGGATCTTATGAATTGGAAGTGAAGAATCTGAACAGTTAATTTGGAACACATTCTGAGGGGTAGCATCAGACAGAGAAGTCCCGTACCCAAATATGCCTTCTTCCGTACTACTCGAATGTCATACTTTGTTATCCTGCCTGAAATGCAAACAGCTGGAGATTCACTGGTGTTAATAAACACCCAGAGGGGACTCCGGTGGCCTAGGAGGTAAGGAGTCACTGCCAGCTACAGAGCAAGCAGGCGGTTCAAATCCTCCTGCAACTTTGAAGATCAAAGATGGACAGTCCACCACCACTTAAGGGCCGGCTCTGAGTTGCTTCTGAGTCAAGAGCAATGAGAGGTGGTGGTGGTGTTCTGTACCTTTTAATCGGAAATGACTCAATTGCTCATCTTTTTCCCTTTGAGCAGCTGGTGGATTCGAACAGCCTGCCTTTGAGTTGGCAGCACAACTCTTTACCCACTTGGCCACAGAGCTTCCTAAAGAGAGAGAGTAAAGAGCTTCCCTTTAAAAGACATTTGCTGGGGTCAGAGGACTTAGCAATCACTCACATGCACTTGAATCCAGTCAGATTTCCTTTCTGCTTGGGGGCTAAATGAACTGTAGTGAAGATGAAGGTGGTGTGTGGGAGATAAGGGGAGGGTGGCATAGGGGAGAATGGAAGTGTGGAGTGTGGGGTTCGGTGGGTGCTTAACACAAGATAAGGGCGGGGGAGCGGGTGTCAGCTGCAGACAAGAGTGAGGAGGAGGGTGCTACGAAAGGAGGAAGGCCAGCCCTTGTCCATCTTAGTGTCAGCTTGAGCTCTCTGTGGGGAAGGAGGATGACACTCCTTTTTTTTCACCTGCCTTCAGGGAGGACTCGAAGAGTTGTAACTGAGACGTAAGAAGCTGGTGTGGGGGGAGCGGTTCTCTCAGATGACTAGTTAGCCCCCATCTGTAGGAGAAACACCATTTGTGAATTAAATGGCCGATTTCAAAATGTGTTTTCACACGTCAGTCTTCACCTCAGGCGGGGCCTATCTTTTTTCCCCCTTTTTAAAAAAACATTATTATGCTTAATTTTAATGAAAATTTACAGAGATTTTGGATTTCGATTTGTTCATTGTTGCACTTTTCTCCCTGCCCACCCCTTCCCTCCAGTTCATTCTTCTCTTTGAAAAGTAAAAGAAAACTACTTTCATTGTTTGTTATATAACCCCTCCCCCCCAAGTCTACTCCACTATGCAGCCTTCATTCTGGACTCCTGTCATGACAATAATACCTAATCATATGTATCTTTTAAACAGTTTTCTCTCTCATCTGTTTCAGTACATAATTTATCCCATCTTTCTCAGTCTCCCCCCAACCCCTGTGTCAGTCCCGTTTTACAACAGTAGTGCTATGCAGTAGAGGTTAAGACGTCACTTTGGTGGGTGTGTATGTACAGGTCAGCGGTACTCCTGATTTATTCCATTCGGAATAGTGTGTGTTCCAGCAGGATGTTTTCAGACCCTGAGCCTTGACACCCTCCCTAATGGGGCTGGAGTGGGGCGGAGGCAGACCAGAGAGCTTCCCGGGTCCCTGTCCTCCAGTCAGCTTCCGCTGCTCTATTTCAGATTTTCTTTTGGGCTTTGTTTGAAAAGGAGTTGGTGCGAAGACAAGCTTATGGCCTTTCCTTCTCCCACTGAGCAGCTGGTAGATGTGAAACACATCCTTTTGGGACTGCAGCTCAGCTTACCACTAGGTGAACATTGTTGTTAAGTGCCATCGAGTCGCAGGTGACTCATAGTGACCTTGTGAAGGAGAGTCCTTGATGCTTGGGTGTCTCTCATCCTCTCTCCAGGTTCATAGGGTTTCTGGAGGCAAGCTGTTACGGAAGTGGATGCCACTCCTCCTTCCAAGCTTGTTTTACTCGGGGAGCTCCACCCCACTCTCTGTCCCCATTGGATAACCAGCCATTAATGCATTTGACACATCAGTGTCACAGTGTTCAGCCTCACAGCAACCACAAGTGACCACTATATGGCAACTTGTATACCAGGGCTAGACGACCTAGAGGAATGTCTGAACAAAAACAATGAAAGACAGGCCCGAGGGCTGCAGATTAAAAGTCACCCACCTTCGGCTTGGTAGCATCGCCTTCTGTCCACTGGGCCAGCTGATCTCTCTCTCTATGTTGATGTTGTTGTTAAGAACTGTCGAGTCGCAGGCGACTCATAGCGACCCTATGAAGGAGAGTCCTCAACACTTGGGTGTCTCTCATCCTCTCTCCAGGTTCATAGGATTTCTGGAGGCAAGCTCTTACGGAAAGTGGATGCCACTCCTCCTTCCAAGCTTGTTTTAATCGAGGAGCTCTACCCCACTCTCTGTCTACATTGGGTAACCAGCCATTAACGCATTTGACACATCAGTGTCATAGCATGGTTTAAAATGAGAAAAAGCATACATCAGACTTGTATTACATCTGTTCAGTCTTTGTGCTGAGCAAATCATTCAAGAAACTGGACTATATGAGGAAGAATATGGCATGAGGATCTGTGGAAAACCTGCCAATGACCTGCATTACATAGATGGCACACCTTGCTTGGATAAGACTTGAAGTACTTACTGCAGAAGATCAAAGACTACAGCCTTCAATGTGGGTCATATCTCAACATCAGTAAAGCAAAACTCCTCACCACTGGACAAATTGACGACATCACGATATCATGAAAAGAAATTGAAGTCAACTATTTCATTTGAAGTAAATTATTGCATTTTACTTGGAGCTACAACTCACATCCATGGTAGCAGCAGTCAAGAAATGGAAAGATCTATTGCGTTGGAGAAATTTGCTGTCTAGGACCTCTATGAAGTTTTAAACAGCAAGGATGTCAGTTTAGAGACTAAGGTGCATTGTTTCAAGTCATGGTATTTTCAGTTGCTTCCTGTGCATCTGAAAGTTGGACAATAAGCAAAGATAAAAGAAGAATCGACCTTTAATTGTGGTTAGTGAAAAGAACAAATAAATCTGTCTAGAAGTGCAACCAGAGTGTTCCTTAGAGGCAAGGATGCTGAAATTTTGTTTCATTTACCTTGGGCATTTTCAGGAGGAACCGGTCATAGGAGAGAGATCTCATGCAGAGAAAGGGAGAAGGCGAGCGAAAGTTATTAAGAAGACTCTTAATAGCTGGATTGACTCAGTGACAACCACAGTGCGATTGAGCATGACAGAGACCATGAACATGGAGCAGGGCAGGGCAAGGTTCACATCTGCACAGGATCTCGATGAGTCATAGCTGACTTGACACCTAGCAACAACAACAACAACATAAAGTAATAAAACTAGATTCCAGACTCAGCTAAGTGTTTGGTGGTGGTGGTGGGTCTTTGAAAACTGGTTGGTGGGGTCAGTTTCATCTCACATACTTTTGTTTAACCACATGAAAGGACTTGGTAGTCTCTGGAGCAACCCCAGCCCTGTCATCAAGGGGCCATGCTATTTCCAGAACTTCCCTGAGGTGGTGGACTATCCTTTTAAGGGCGGCTATATGTTATGCAGATGACAAAACCTTGCTTGCCGGAAGGGAGAAGGACTTGAAACACAGGCTGCACAAGATTAAAGACTCCAGACTTCAATATGAATTACATCTCAACATTAAGAAAAATCTTTATCACCAGGCTGTTAGGCAGTATCATAATAGATGGAGCCAAGATTGAAATTGTTAATGATTTACTCTTAACTTGGATCCACAACACCACCATTGGCGCCAGCATTTAAGAAATCAGAAGACATAATTGCACTGGGAAAGTCTGCTGTTAGGGACTTCTCCAAAGTACTGAGGAACAATGATGTCAGT